GGCAGGAGATCTTTAGAGGTGACAGTGTACTCACAGGGCAGGAATTCCACAGGCACTGCTGTGGGGTCTGTGCTGGGTTTTGCATCATCAAGCGTTGATTCTCCATGAATGATTTCTATGTCATTTTCCAGTGCATCTATGAGACAGCCAGGGCAAACGACCACTGCCCCATCCCCTATAATGCACCCAATTCTCTTCTGAGGCTTTGACAGAACAGTTCCCACCCTAGGGTTCACTTAACAGGTCTAAGACTCAGAAGGCCTTTCCTGGTGAATAAGGCAGGACTCTGATGTCAGAAAAAAAAAATCCTTGGTCTGCAACTCAATTCTGACACTTAAAAGGAAATGGTTTCATGCTGTATAATGCCTCTACACACTGAATAATAAATGATAACAATAAGATTACTGTACCGGAATAATATTAGGGAAAGGCAGTTATTTTCTGCTAAACAGAGGAGGAGGCAGGAAATCTGTAAAATCTGTATATATCCCAGATCAAAACTGAGGTCCTTGTACCGGTCTCTTGTAAATACAGTAAGGTCCCAAGACCTCGAGCACCAGCAGGTGGAAGGGGGTGCACTGACGTGTTAGTGCAGTGACTGGGCTTCAGGAGGAAGGAGAGGGAAGTCACAAAAGTACAGAGAATAAGGGACATGGGGCTGGAGATGCTCAGCACTTACAGCACTGGCTGTTCTTGCAGAGGACTCAGGTTCAATTCCCAGCACCCACATAGTGGCTAACAACCAACCACACCTCCAGTTCCAGGAGATCCAACGCCTTCTTCTGATCTCCACGGGTGCCAGGCATGCACGTGGTGCACGGGCAAAACATTCACACAGCTAAAGTAAAAATAAATACATCTTTACAAAAGAGAACTCATGAGTTCTGTGACCAGACATGAGTTGTTTAGTGCCTTGGGGGCTTAATTATTTGTATTATGGGATTCATATTGGCTGCATGCCTACCTCAGTGGGGTGCATGGAGTCATGCTGCATGAGCTGAGTGTGATATGGCATGGCCACACGCGGTGTCTGTAGGATCCTGCATTCTTTGGCTGTCCTGCTCTAGTCAAATCCTGCCCTACACCAATGAAGCATGTGATCACAGCTACACCTGTGCCTCAAACAAACTCAGTCTGCCTAAGTCCAGCTTGAACAAAAGGTCCAATTTTCAGGACAATTACAGGCATTTTAAGAACATTCACCCAAAATACTTTTTAAACCACAAGCCGTCTTGCATGGTATTTATTGCTTCAAGTGCATGTTCTACTTTTTATGGTACGATGTCATACAATGCATCCACAGGGAGTATGTGAAATATGGGTGACCATGTATTTGCACTAATAACACTCATGCACACCTCAGACACAAGCACTCTTCCCTTACATGGGTTATTGTTTGGATGTAAAATGTCCCCCGTGAGCTCACGCGTGTGACTACTTTCTCAGAGTGTGGTGTGATTTTATTCTCCCCTTTTCCCTCAGACCCATCCTGGACTCCCACCGTCACCAATCCTCTGCAGTCCTCCCCATCTGTGCTGTCCTCCCCGTCTATGCTGTCCTCCCCCCTCTGCAGTCCTCCCTCCTCCGCTGTCCTCCCGCCTCTGCTTACTCTTTTCTAGTAGTTGCTGAGGACAGTGCTCTCTCTGGCCCTGGGGTGAAAAGACCACTCTGAACCTGGCAGCGTGAGATGACCACTCAATCATTTTCTACACATTGATTTGAGAGCTATTTCTGCTTCATCAACTCTAAGAAAATTTAGTCTTTTGGATCCTTCCGGTGTGGTCTTCTTCTCAAAAGACAGCCACAGAATGTACGCTACTCTTGGAGTAAGAACGGGGCAGCAAAGTTTCCACACGAGAACAATTTCAGTCCCAGAGCTACTGCCTGCTCAAACAGGACAGCATAACAGTGACATTTATCAGCTCAAGAAAATGGTATTTCAATGTGTTTTGACGGTTGAATTCTGACCCCAGAAGCCAAGCAATGAGATGAATTCTGTCTCTTTATCCAAAGATTTCTGACTGCAAGCACAGAGAGGCTGGAGGGAGGCCAGAGGCCAGAGGGTTCCAGTGGCTTTTGCTCCCTTAGGCGCACAGGAAGAAGACAAAAGGCAGTGATGGGCTCCTTGAGCTTTGCTAGGAAAACGGCCTGATTACCCCTTTGGGGGAGGAACAGAACCAGCCAGGCTTCCAGGAGGTGGGACTGGACTGACCATCCCAAAACAAATGTACAGTGAGTGGGAAGTTCAATTTCTTCAGGAGAATTAACAGCTAAGCTCCCTTCCCTCCCCGCACAGGAAGAAGACAAAAGGCAGTGATGGGCTCCTTGAGCTTTGCTAGGAAAACGGCCTGATTACCCCTTTGGGGGAGGAACAGAACCAGCCAGGCTTCCAGGAGGTGGGACTGGACTGACCATCCCAAAACAAATGTACAGTGAGTGGGAAGTTCAATTTCTTCAGGAGAATTAACAGCTAAGCTCCCTTCCCTCCCTCCCTCCTCCCCCTCTGTTTTAAATTTCTTTTTCTCCATATATTGCCACATTATCATGAACTCCTAGTCTCAAGGAAGGCTCCTTGCTTGGGCCTTATGAATAGCTGTCACTACTCTTGACAACAAAAAGAGACAAATGTATCAGTGTTTCCAAGCTCCTAAGAACCCAGAGCAGAGGAAGAGCTCTAAAATGGAGGGACATGGTTGCAGCTCTCCTGGCTCCCTCCCCCCTCCCTTCTTTCATCTTTCCCCTTCTCCCCCTCTATTTCTCCATCCCTCCCATTACCAGGGAAATCTGGGTTTCCTTTTGCAGGTTCTTCTATTAAATTCTTTAATAAAAGAATTTTAAAATGGACTGAAAGAGCTTGAGGACAATTTTATCAGCGTTTGAGAGAAGCAAAGCAGGGGAGCTGAGGGTCTCAGCAGCTGCCTGGAGGAGGGAGATGGAGAAGAAGAAGCAAGCAAGCCATGATGCTTCTAAGCAGCCACATGGTAGAAGATGGGGCTGGAATACTTCAGAGAAAAGTGAGGAGGCCTGGAGTGTCAGGGAAAGCACACCCAGGCTTTAGAGAAGAGATAGAGAAAGTTACACTTCTCTGAGGGACTGAGAAACGCGGGGAGGCTTAGCAGGACAGCTGCTCTAAGTGTGGCACTTCTGGGAAGGACACACACACCATCTTATCAAGGGGATGATTACTCCTCCCTTCCCCTAAGCCTGTTTCTAGGGAATCAGTCTTCCTGAGGGATGGGTTCTTGCTAGGTGATTGACAGGTCCAGCTGGATGAGCTTGTAAGGGAGAGGACCATGGTAAGTAACCTCTAATCTTCGGAGCAGATCAGAATGTCATGTCTCCACCAAAGGCCAGAGGTAGACACCAACCTTCTGACCAGGAGGAACCAACTTTCCCGTAATGGCTGCAGCAGGACCCTGACATCCATTCTCAAAGCCTCCAAGGCTGCTGTAGCATTCTACCCTCTAGAGTTGAAACTCTAAAGTCATTTAGGATGGCTAAAGTTGGGAACAGACAGAACCAACTTCCACTGTGAAAATCTAGTCAGTCCAAAGGACAGCCTGGGCTACATGAGACTTTGCCTCAAGACAACAAAATCGTAGATTCTCTGCTATTGCCAGTGTGTCATAAGCAGGCACTCTAAAAGCCCCTTTCCTTTAGGACTGATCTGAGTCAGACTAAAATGAAACTGGTGCATTTAAAGAAAACACTACTTCCCGGAGCCTGAGAGACCAGGCTGCCTCTGAGGAACAATCTGGATTTGCTTTATTGGCCAATTTAGTGAAGAATAATCTGGAATTCGTTTCAGTAAAAAGATGGCTGTCCTCCACACCCAAAGCCCTGCCTTGGTGACTCCTTCCTGCCAGTGACTGTTGGACTCCTGTCCATGTCACCAGTATGCGCAGCATGGCCCCTACCCCTGCAGAGCGGAGCCTTGGCAGATGCCCAGACCTCCTGATCAGGGGTTGGAGATGACTTCTGCCCCTGAGACATGGTCCTGAGGCTAACATGGGGTTACACCACTCAACCCTTCACTTGAGTCCACAGCCCTGGCTACTTGTGAATTAAATGCAAATTCTGGGAAATTGGAGTTACAACACAGAGAGGACGGGGGACAGAAATGGGTCAGCACTTCCCTTAGTGTCCCTGGCCAGTACCAAGAAATGACCTTGTTCTGTCCTGGCTAGGGGCCAGAGATGCCAGAAAACGGTGCTGGATTCTTATTACCTCTCTTACCTAAATGAGCAGCCCTGCCTGGAGGCTGTGTGTGACTGACACTCCTCCTGACACTAATCCCTCCTCCTGAACAGCTGTGGAATTGGACCTTGAACACTTGATTCTCTTGCCTCCACTTCAAAAGTGCAGGGATTACAGCCACGTGCCACCAATTTCTCCATTTTCAAAATGAGAAAACCTGGTATAAAAAAGCTTCGTGCTTTGCTCAAGGTCACACAAGCAGTACATGGCAGAACCAGGCTGTCTCCTCTCACTGACGTTTCCAGACCTCGGGAGAGCGTTCTTGTGACCATAGCACTGGGTAAGACAAGACACAAATGCCAAGGGCTGGTGTGCGGGGCTAAGTGGCAGGTGGTGACGTGGGGGAGTCCTTCTTCGTCTTCAAGTCATTTTCCCCAAAGACAGATTTTCTTGAGATTATTCCCACTTTCAAATGAAAGGGAAAAAAATGAGGCAAGGGAATAAGGGTGATTCTGAACATAATAACCATAAGCAAACAGACACATTTTAAAAGTCTCATAATTCATAAAACGTGTTTGGTCCCACACTGTATGGTAAGCAGCTGCAGCTGAAATCCTGAATATACTGTCGTCAGCATCCCTGTTCCACTGACGCTTCCCCATGCTGAGGTTCTGCACTACAGTGCACAGCAGACTGGTCCCCACCCTGCCCTGCCGAGGAAATGACACCTGAGCTCACTCGGCGGGACCCTACTGCCCTCACGCGGGACTGTCTCTTGGGAGCTTTCAGGGCAGGGTAATTACCTAGGCATGTACAGGACTCTCTCGGCCACCACGAAGCCCACCCTGAAGAAGAGGTTGCTGGCTGGAATGAACGGGAACACGAGGAACAGCAAGCCGGCCAACACTTCCTTGTGCTCCAGCCTCTGAAACACACAAAAGAGAAGGACACTAGATCCGCTCCACTCGGTCCCGGCCAGCACTTCATCATGTTGCCCTCAAGTTACTGGTGACCAGTGAATGCATGAACCTCTGGACCAGCAAGAAGACCCAGCTAGAGGTGCTGGCACATCACACAGCTAACACACACCTGCCACTAGAGACACCTGACAGGTCAAAGCTGGCCATCACCACCACCGCTCTGGGCAGCCTGAGAACCCTACTGTTAGGCTCTGGCCCCTTTTAGAACCACCCCCCACCCCCACCATGTCTTAGGCCTGTCCAGAGGCAGAGCACTGGGTAAAGCCAGGCCCTGAGATTCAGAGACGTTCTCTCAGAAAGAGAGCGCCTGTGTTTTCAAAGAGCCCAGAAGGTCCACTGGGAGGAGCCAAGTTCCCCATGACAGAAATGCCATTCAGTGGTGAAACTGAGGAAGGGTTGTTGCACTGAGTGTCACTTAGTACCTCTCAAATTAGGTAAAGCAAACTTTTGTTTTATTTTGTATGATTTCTGAGATAAAATCTCTCTGTGTATCCCTGGCTGGCCTAGAGCTCAGCATGTGGCTCATGCCCGCCTTGAACTCACAGTGATCCTCTGCCTCAGCCTCCTGGGTGCTGAGATTCCAGGCATGGACCACTATGACTGGATGCAAAGTTTTTAAACTAAAACACTATTATAAAAACTCATTAAATTCGGAAAGGTCATTTTGCTAATATTTGCAAAGATGTTTCTTAATTTTTGTATAATTAAAATCTGTATAAATTAACTTATAAAGATTTACTAAATAACTAAATTTTTTAAAAATTAAAAACAGCTGGGGCTGGAGAGATGGCTCAGCAGTTAAGAACACTGGTTGTTCTTGCAGAAGACCCAGGTTCGAATCCCAGCAACCACATGGCAGCTAACAACTGTCCGTAACTCCAGTCCCAAGGGATCTGACAGCCTCTTCTGACTTCCGGGCATTGCACAACACGGGTGCACTTATCTACATGCAGGCAATACAAGCACACACATAAAATAAAAAAATAAAATAAAATTTAAAATAAAAAAATTAAAAACAGCTATTTATTGCTACATGTCGTAATGGACTGTAGGAAGCACTGTGTTTCCACGTGTTTATATGCTAGCAGTGCTTGAAGAGCTCTATTTAAAATAGATGAGTTGGGCTAGAGAGATGGCTCAGCGGTTAAGAGCATTTGCTCTTCTTGTAGAGGACCCGGGTTTGAGTCCTAGCACCCACATGATGACTGACAACCATCTGTAACTCCAGTTCCAGGGGATCCAATGCCCTCTTCTGACCTCCATGGGCACTTCACGATGCAGGTGTATTTACATACATGCAAGCAAAACACTCATACGCATAAAATAAAAATAGATAAATCAAAAAATTAAAATAAAATAGATGAGTATATTGGATGCTATTATTTTTTTCTTTTAAAAGAATGTTTAAGAGGACTTAGTGATAGACACTGTGATTCCAGCAACTTGAGGAAGAGGATTGCCTCAAGTTCCAGGTAAGCCTGGGCTGCTAAGTAAGACTGTTAAACAAACAGAATGCTTAAGAAGGAAACAGGGTCTCTAGGCAGTTTGTGGTTGTCAGGGGAAGAAGAGGCATTTCTACAGCGGTACAGCCACTTGGAAAGAGCTCGTGCTGCTGTGAAGATCCTGGCGCAGGAGAGACAAATGACAGATGGAGGCTAGGTGGGCAGACCAAGGGGGTGTGTGAGGGGCAGGAGAGGGCAATGGCGGCCAAACATGGTAAAAGCATCATATGTATATGAAGATGCCGTAATGAAAGTCGTTATTATGTATAATCAGCATATACCCATAAAACGTCAAGAAGGAAACCAAACAGAAATTTCCATATTGCATGCTTACATACAATGATTCCCATAAGCATAAACATTTAAAATAGTGAATGACGTTTATGAACTGGAAAAGAATAAGAGTATTAAATAAAACTCCCTACTCACGACTATAAATGCCTTAAGTATGCAAAGTAAAAGGTTTGCCACCAGGATTTTATTAAAATCTTTGTCTTGTTAACTACTGCATACAGAATAATGAAATCTCCAGGGGAGAAGCACACGATTTGCAGTTTCCCTTAAATGATTTACTTCTATTAGTAATGATCTTCTTTTTGACCTGAAGGAATCAAACTCCTTAGAAGAAAAGGAGTAAAAGTATATCACAAGCTTTCAAGTCAGATGCGCACAGAATGGTGTGTGTGTGTGTAGTCTGTGTGCGTAGTGTGTATAGTGTGTGTGTAGTGTGTAGTGTGTGTGTAGTGTATATAGTGTGTGCACAGTGCGTATATAGTGTGTGTTGTGTATATAATGCGTATATAGTATGCGTTTAGTGTATGTATAGTGTGCATGTGTGTGTAGTGTTTTGTGTGTATGTGTATATAGTGTGCATGTAGTGTGTATAGTGTGCATGTGTGTGTAGTGTGTATATATAGTACATATGTGTGGTGTATGTATATAGTGTGTAGTGTGTTTGTACAGTGTATATGTGCACACATACACACATGCTTGTACTTGTGGCACTCAGAGGACAACTTTTGGGAGTCGTTTCTCTCCTCCCAGCTTATTTGGGGCAGGGTCTCTCTGGTTTCTGCCCCTGCATTGCATGCTGACCCTCAGGTTTCTTCCAGTCCTGGCCCCACCTCCTACCTCACAATAGCAATGCTAGGATTACAGGTAGGCACACCTGCAGCCAGCTCTTTACATGGGCTCTGGAGATTGAACTCAGGTCATCAGGCTTGTGTAGCAAGAGCTTTTACCCACTGAGTCATCTCCTAGCCTGCCCAAGAACATTATAAAGATCAGGCCCGGGACCAGCCCCTGGATGGTTTTTCCCCGTCAGTTGCCTTTCTGCCTCTCTTTGGGGGTGTTTAGAGAACAGATGCCACTGGGATCTGGAAGCTGCCTGCCTTCCCAACACAGCCTCCCATTTTCTCCCTGATCGCAGGCCCTCCCTGCTGTACCCGGCCTTCACCTGTTTCTTCACAGAGCCCTGAGCACCTGAGCATCCATCAGCGGACAGGTCATCCTCCAGGTGGAGGTCAGTTGGCAGGGAGGCCGGGCCCTTCCAGAGAAGCAGGGGACCGGCTTGTTACAGGAGCCGTCGTCAGTGCCAGTGTGTTTCCCCACACCTCTAAATGGGTTTCAGAGAAACGAGTGTGTTCACACAGGTCTATAAATGGCGATTATATTTCAGTCCTGGGTTTGCTTCCCAGCCCAAGGCTCTGGCTGGCTGCATCAGTCCTCGAACTCCAGGATGGTAAAGCTCCCCTGGCAACCTCAGATGGGCAGAGCCAATGCTGGTGGCTGAATGCACTTAACAGTCCACTTTGACCATTTGCCTTCAGATTCTCGATGGCAGACACCATGCATGATTATTTAGATGTCTGGCACACACATGATCGGCATTCAACATATATGTGGGAAGTTACATGGTGCACTGGGGTCCCTCAAACACTTGGAGAGTCATTTTATAAACTCCAGACAGTGCAAGTTAAGCAAAAATAATTCTTGAAACATGAAACATAAGCTTTGTAACATTAATTTGCGGTGAAAGCTCTGCAGTCTGAACATTCAAAGGTGTCTCATGAGGGTTTTGAGGAGTGATGTCCACTGCTGGTCACTGATCATCGCCATGGAGGAGGACTTCTGCACTCGGCTGAATTTATCCATTGCTACGGGGTCTCATGTAGCACTATGACCTTTCTGACAGGGAAGAGTGATACCTTTCATGGTACTGAAATTGAATTTCAATTTTTTCATTATTTCAATGCATTAAAATACTCAGTAACTTGGGGTTCTTCTCATGGAAGTGGTTTTTAACAGGAATCTGGAGTATTTCAATCAACTGAAATGAATCTGGCTTCTCCATTTGATTACACAGTGCAGGCTCACCTCTGCTGGGCACTCTGAATTCCAGGGGATGAGATGGAGGGATGGGGTCATCATCTTTGTTCATTCTCTGGCTAAGCACTGCCAAACAGTGACCATCCCTCTGTGTAATACGCAGCCCACTCTATGCGGGTGTTCATCCCTGTGCATAATGTAACAATCCATCCTGCTCAAGCTTAATTCTGATTGAACCTTCACAATGCTATGAAGATTACTATCTTTAGTCTAACATCTTCCACGCCTTCAGCTTTTGGGTCCTTTGGAAAAAGCTGAAGTTCTAATTAGGCAAAATGCCAGGCTGACTGTGCCCCTCAGGAGAAGCCCGTCTCAGGGCTGACTGTGCCCCCCTCGGGAGAAGCCGGTCTCAGGGCTGACTGTGCCCCCCTCGGGAGAAGCCCGTCTCAGGGCTGACTGTGCCCCTCAGGAGAAGCCCGTCTCAGGGCTGACTGTGCCCCCCTCGGGAGAAGCCCGTCTCAGGGCTGCAGAGGCACCAGGCCTTTCTTCACAGCTGGAGCGTCAGACTCCTGCTCTGCTGCCCATTTGGCTAATGCTCTGCAGCCCTGTTTCCTTCCTTCTGTTCACAGGAAATCTGTCTGATTCTCCACTTCAGCAGATCCAAGTTTACAGTTTATTTAAAACGTCAGGAACTGAACCCACAAAAGCTGTTATGTGGGTGATGCTCTGAAGGATGGAGAAAACACAGGCTCCACCAGGTGACTGGGAGAACGACCTACCTCCAACCCTACTTTCAAAACCAGGAACACTTTCAAGACCACGACAGATCACGCTGAGCTAAATGAAGGACAGAAAGAGCGAGGCTGCTCCGGGGGCTCTGTCTGCTCTGCACTAGGGACCTTGGATTCATCGCCCAGCGAGGCTGCTGCCTTCCCACCTGCTGGTCAGGAGCAGGGTGCTATTTCCATTTTTCCCTTGAGGGTGCTCCGGCCTGCACCGCTGGCAGTGATTGGCTTGCCTATTTTTGGCACAGTTACTGTCTGGAATGTTTCCATTAGGCTTTGAAACCTGATTGCCCTGTCAAACTCATGCAGGAGTCTAATCCTCAGGCTTAG